GAGTGCAAACTGGTACAACCATTTTGGAAAAACGTCTTGGTAATATAAGCTAAAGCTGAATGTACACGCATCTTTTACTCAGCAATCTCACTTCTGGGCATATACACAACAGAAACACATACATATGTTTGACAAATGACAGATACAACAATCTTTAAAAAGTTGAATCTTTGGACTTCCACTCTGGCAAGATGGGAGTAGACATACTCTTCTCTATTCCTTACAATAAGGAAAGCAAAAGACCCTAGACATTACATATAAAACAATCATAAGAAGTTTCTGAAAAGTGAGGAAGAGGAGAAAGACTGGCTAGGGACCTTGGGTGCTAAGGAACAACATGGAACTAAGTTCCATAGGATTTCTTCCCAAAACGAGGGCTAAAGAACCCAGCAATCAGGAAATGCCAGTGGATACTGCCAAAAAAAAAGTCTCCAAGAAAATCCTGCTCTCTCTAGCCAAAGGACCAAAAAAAGGGGCACCCTAGAAAGACAGAAAACTTTAAAACAATAATCATTCAATTGCAGTCAAGCAGTACAGAAAAAAAATGCGGTGTACCTCCATCCTTGTCACTAAAGGCTGAGTGGGGAGTTCAGACTCCTCCCTTCTCCTAGTTGTAACAAGGCATGGCCAGAGTGGTGTCAGAGAAGTCTAAGTTAACACAGTCCTCCTCTCAACCCAGCAGTGTCAGTAAACACCATGAAGGGAACTCAGACATCCATCCCCACCCAGAAGTTACAAGAAAAACCCTATATCTCTCTACTAGGGTACTATCAAAGGATATATAGTGGAGAGTCAGGAATTATACCACAACCCAGTTAATGAGTTACCCCTGCAGTGTCAGTGGAGGCCCATGGGTAGGGGTTGTAAATAGGCAATCCTAACCCTCCCAGCCAGGATAGTATCGGCAGAAATGTAGTCGGTAGACTCAACTCCCACTCTCATCTTCCATCTGAACATGTGTCAAAAGAGGCCTGCTATAACAGAAAATTTAGATCCACAGTCTCATGAAATAATAAGCAAATATCCAGTTAAATTATATCTTTGTCCTAACAAGAACCAGTAAAATCTCAACTTCAATGAAAAAACGCAATCAGCAGACACCAACACTAAGATGACATAAATATCAGAATTGTCTGACAAGGATGGAAAAAGTTGTTACATTTCTAAATATGCTTCAATAAGGAGTTATTAACACACCTGAGACAAATGAAAAAAAAATTGCCTCAGTAAAGAAATATAAGACATAAAGAAGAACCAAATGGAAATCTTAGAACTGAAAAATACAATAAAAAACTAAACAGTAGAATGTAGAGAACAGAGATTCAATTAACTTTGAAAACAGAACAATAGAAATGACCCTATCTAAACAACAGATAGAAATCAAACAAATAAACAAAAAATCACAGAAAAACAAAATGGAGACTGAGGGACCTATAGGACTCTAACATTATTGTCTACCATTCTTATCACTGGAGTACTAAAAGGAGAGGAAAAAAAAAAGAAGGGGCTATAATAGTATTTGAAGAAATAACGGCTGAAAATTACTCAAATTTAGCAAGAAACACAAACCTACAGATGCAGAAATTGAATGAACCACAAACAGGGCAAACTCAAAGAAATTCATGCCAAGAAGCATCACTGGCAAACTTTTGAAACTAAGAGAAAAAAAAAATCTTGAAATAAGCAAGAAATAGAACCTTACTGACAAGAAAAAAAGATTTTAAAAACAGATTTTTTAAATTAAAATATATTTGACATATAATATTGTATAAAATTAAGGTATACATGTTAATTTGATACACTTATATACTGTAATATGATTGGCACTGTACCAACAATTAGCACCTCTACCATGTAAATATTTTCTTTTTACTGGTTGGAATAATTAAGTTCTAATCTCCTAGGAAGTTTAATGATTATAATATAATACTGTAGTCTACATTTACTTATTGGTTTAGCCACTATGAAAAACAATATGGAGTTTCCTCAAAATTTTGAAAATAAATCTACCATATGATCCAGCAATTCCACTTCTGGGTATATATACAAAAAAAAATGAAAACAGAATGTCAAAGGGATATATGCACTCCCACGTTTACTGCAGCACTATCCACAATAGCCAAGATACAAAAACAACCTAAGGGCCCAGCAACAGATGAATAGATAAAAAAAGATGTGGTATATATGCAATGGGATAGTATTCAGCCATGAGAAAAAAAGGACATTTTGCCATATGTGCCAACATGAATGTACCTTGAACACATAATGCTAAGTGAGATAAGTAAGAGAAAGACAAATACTGCATGATATCACTTTTGTGTGAAATTCAAAAAGCCCAATTCATAAAACAGCACGTATTTTTGAAAGAAATTATGAAATCCAGAAGGAAGTGGTAAAACATTTTTCAAGTGCAGAAAGAAGAGAAATGCC